ACCCCAATGAAGTCGGATTTGCGATTAAGGGTATAAATGGAACAGGCTACTACTAGTACTGGGCTGTTCGACCCGGCGATTCTGGGGACGAGCAGTCTATAAATAAGGATGTTCGGTTTAGGAACGGGACAAAGCTCAGCTGGCCACTGTAGGGGTTTGTATGGTTCAGATTTTTTAAACAATTTAGGAACGGGACAATACTGGACACTTTAAGAGTCTAGACCTATATGGTTCAGAGTTTTTAAAAAATTTAGAAACGGGACAATACCGAAACTGAACACTGTAAGGGTCTTTGATATCACGAGGTTCTGATTTTAAACGATTATTCTGATGTTAAAAACCACGGTCTTAAATTTAAGAGGGGGTGGGGGGTGGGAAGAAAAAGACGTTTGAAACGTAGATTTAGGGCAATAAACCCCCACATGCCAACAAAGAAAATAAATCATACTGAAAGTCACATTCATTCCCATGTCATAGGGCATTACACCAGATGGAAAATAGAAATGACACAAAATGATATAATTTAATACCGCATCGCGGATAAGCAGAACAAGCACCTAAACCCTAGTTATATTCCTTGTCGATTGTCTACTTTTATTGGATGACAGATCAAGTTTGAAGTTAGGATTAGAGCAGGTTTTTAAGTATCCTTTTGCACACGTCATTCCTGTTTTTTTTTACTAACAGGTAAATCTTGTACATGTTCGACAGAACAAGTAATTTTTACACATGTTCCATATTGGTGTTAGGAGCTTACATACCAACCACCCCATATCCTCAAAAAGACTGATCGACTAACACTATTTCTAACAAAGAGGAACAAAAAATTAACTCTAGAATAAAATGATATGAGATGATATAAGCTACGACGTATGCATGTGTATGTAATGATGACCATGATCTTAATATTAATAACCGACTACAATAGTAGGTAAGAATCTACACGTATGCATGTGTATGATGTGTATGTAATGATGTCTTGACTTGTTTTGACTTAGTCCTCTTTGCTCCTTAAGGAACACAGGGCCTCCACCATTTCGTCCGATTCCCGGCTATTAATTGTATGTTATGATAACCACGATCTAATATTAATAACCGACTATAACAGGGGTCGGCGGAAGAGCCCTAAAGTTACAATCTACAAAATATCGCAATGCAATTTTCAAAGAGCCACTAACATTTTATGCACTTCGGTAGTGGAAAACATGGAACAATTGCCACGGGGCTGGCCACAGCACTGTTGTGGGGCTGGGCCTATAGCCCAGCGGCTGTCAGCTGTCCATATACGCTCTACTCCATCTATTCTCGTTGTTTTTTTTATTGTTTAAAGTTGTTTCTGTTTTTACAGTATTATATTTTTGTAGTTTTGAAAATAAAATAATATAATTATTATGGAACTGGAGAGCCGCATATTGACATCAAAAGAGCCGCATGCGGCTCGCGCGAGCCGCAGGTTGCCGAACCCTGGACTATAACATTAGGTAACAATCAACGGCTGCTATAGCAATAGTTTTACACAAATTTCGCTAAGATAAAAAAAACTACCATCAAGACTGTGACTGATAAGGTTGTATTGTCGCCAAAGGGTGTCGAGTTCTAATACTTGAGATTTTAAAAAGTTAACATGCAACTGTCGTATTCACAATTACGGAGGATGGGGAATGTTAGGAAATAAAACTCGCAACGGTGGGGGGAGGGGGATATATGATAGGCGATGAAAGGAAATATTAGAGGCGACGACAGAAAAGAAACATTTTTTTTTAAACGTGATGGGCGATGACAGAATGAATACACTCAAAGAACTGATCGGACAAAATCAGCATGAAAACAGCAGCTGTTAAAAAAAAAACATTTATCATCCCTTCACTAGTAGACAACAAACAGCATTTTACAGTAACTGACGCTGTCTAGACACAGACCCCAGAAAGTAATACTCAAAGAAGAAAAAAACTGAAACAGGATCACGCTGAGTTTAAAACCACTGTGTAATTCATCTTCACTGTTTGGGGCTTGTTTGATTTCCTCCAATGCTACATTTTACAACCAAGTACTTGTATACACTACAAACAGTATGAGCATGTAGTGTGGCCATATTGTTATGGGTAACCTCTGACCTGTGGGCAGCAATGTCTAAATATCCAGATGCTGCTCAATAATTAGTGACGTGTTTAATGAATTAAAAAGTTGAAATAACAAACATTATTTTGTAATATTTACATTTGTAATATAGAATTTTATTACTGAAATATAATTTGCAAGTGGCTCTTTAAATGTTTTGGAAGTGTTGCCGACTTATGGATTAGTTAAAGCAGACATATAGATGAATATTATAAAGCCGAAATTTAGAAGAATAAGATAAAGCCAAATTTGAGATTAATTATAAAATAAATTTAGACGAGTTCGATGGGATGGTATCAAACATGTTGTACGGTGAACCCACACTATAATTTATTTTGGATTTGACCGAACTTAGGGTGGGGGGTGGGGTATGGAACCAGCATGAACGAGACGGATGGAACCTTCCAATTTCTTGTAGCTACTAGCCAGGTAACTGAGTTCCCCAACAGGTGTCTTTTGTTTACAGGAGTACATGATGGAAGAAATATCACACAGGTATATTCATCCCGTGCGGGGACGTCTGATGTAGTCCGGGAGATGTTACATTACAGACTTACTGCCCTTACATTACAGACTTACTGCCCTTTGATCCCAGAGACAGGGGCGTGGCCAAAATATTTGGTTATCATCTCAGATACTGACACGGGAGATTCAGATCTTCAATGATACCTTAGATACTGACATGGGATTTTCAGATACCTTAGATACTAACTCGGGATTTTCAGATATCTCAGATACTGACATGGGATTTTCAGATACCTTAGATACTCGCACGGGAGATTAAGATCTTCGAAGATACCTTAGATACTGACATGGGATTTTCAGATATCTTAGATACTGATACAGAAGACTCAGATCTTTAAAAAGATACCTTAGATACTGAAATGGGATATTCAGATATCTTAGATACACAAGATATTTAAATCTTCAAAATATATCTCAGATACTGACAACAGGAGACTTAGATCTTCAAAAAGATACATTAGATACTGACATGGTATTTTCAGATATCTTAGATACACTGGAGATTTAAATCTTCAATATTCAGATATCTCATATACTAACATGGGATATTCAGATATCTCAGATACTAACATGGGATATTCAGATATCTCAGATACTGACATAGAAGATTCAGATCTTCAAAGACTGGAACGCAATACAGGTAAGGAGCATAACATAATTTTCTAATTTTCAAAGACTAAAATGGGATCAAAAGTAAGAACCGCTTACAAAAGTAAATTACTAGAAAAATCACAGTAAGAACACAACAAAGTTCAAAACATTTATTTCGTACAACTATTTTTTAAAATTCTGAAAATATTAAACTGTTACAAATTTACTCAGCTTAATTGAAAGAACAATTCAAACTGTTAAATAAAATTTTAAATGAGTATGTTAGATCTAAGCAACAGAAGACATAGCACATGAGGGGTTTGTCAATAAACACAGCCCCTAAAAACGGAAAATGTATAAGAGACATACAACACATGAAGACAGACAGCACATAAAGATAAACAGCCCATAAAGAGACTCAGCATAATAACACAACGGCACATACAGAAGTAGCAGCTCGAGGCAACACACCACACCTCCAAAGTTTTTCTTATTTCATGCATCACTGCATGCATTAGCATCGATGCAACAGCCTTTAGTAAAATATTTATGCTTTTTCTTTTCAGCGCAGCCGCATTTAGGTTTGTCATTAGGCACCATCAGAATTGTCATTTGTGTTCGGATTTAGGCTCTACCAAGATTGTTATTTAAGTTTGTCATTAGGCAATATCAGAATTGTAATTTGTGTTTGGATTTAGGCTCTACCAAGATTGTCATTTATGTTTGTCATTAGGCACCATCAGAATTGTCATTTGTGTTTGTCATTGATTAGGCACCATCAGAATTGTCATTTGTGTTTAGAATTAGTACATCTTTTTAGAATTGACAATCATCTATCCTTGTAATGAAATTCGAAATATTGAGGGCTCCTCTATAGATTTTTTAAGCCAGAAATTTATACTGAGCCAATGTAAGATCTACCAACAATTAGTTGCTTAAGACCAAAACTAGCCCACCAAAACAACTTTTGGGGACCACAAACTGGACCAATTAACTGTCTTAAATAACACTAATTGGACAACTAAAATTTATCTTAAAGACCATAAACTGGACAAGCAAAATATATCTCAGAGATCATTCAAACAGCTGACACCAAAAGAATGAAACATCAAAGCTTTTACAAGCAATCCACGGACAATGCCACCAATTGTGTTCATGGTTCAACAATTAATATTACCACGGGTGTAAGAGAGAAAATACTTTCAAACAAGATGACTTTAAGGATATAACAATATAATAACAATAATACAGTTTTTTTTCTGGGTATTGGTATTAAGTAAGCTGAACTTATGAAGTTTTTAAACTTATTATAGATTTTGAAAAAGTAGATAATTAAACAATATTGATAATATTGCTGAACTATAAATATGCTATACAGTGTGAGCAGTTGCTTTCTTTAATAAAAATAATGCTGTGTTAGGATGGTCCTGGCATACATTAAAATTACATGATTGATTTACTATCCTTAAACTTTTAAACCAGACTTGTATACAATCTTTTCTTGTACTTAAATATTATTTTATTAATTGATTTCCCTAGGACCTGTGAGCAACATGAGATTTTTTTAAACAGTATATTGGGAAAGAATTGAATTAATTTGAATAAAAATTATGGCTTTTAACTGATACTTAAACTAAAAGCTGGTGTAATTATTTTAAATGTTAAAATGTATTTGCTCTAATGTAGAAGTTAAACTGGCCACATTTAGCTTTTATTAACCTGTAAATTTTAAACTGACCAAATATAAAGTGCCCAAATGTACTCACATTGACAACTAGATTCCTGTGGTCACTCTGAGTGCTATTATTGTCCCTGCTAGCTTTAGACTGCTTGGCGGCTTTCTTGGCCCGGCTCTCCAGCCAACGCTGCCTAAGTAAAAGAGTGTCTGACTTCTGCTGCTCAAGGATGCTGGGCCTAGAGCTCAGGTACCGGTTCCCTGAGGCCGAGTGGTGGTGGCGGTAGAGTTCTAACCGTCGACGGAGTTTGTCAACCACATCTTTTCTTTTGGGGGCATAGAAATCCCCCATGCTCGCCACGGGGCCGCACTGCTGCGGGAAAGGGGGGCGTCGTGGGTTGAGGGCGTCTGCGCCGAGGGTGCCAGGTCGACTCTGGGGCGGAGCCGCTGCCGGCGGGATGGCCTGGGTCTGCTGCAGGTGCTCCTGGGGGTAAAACTGCTGCAGGTGGTGCTGGGCGGGGGGCAGCGTGGGGTAGGGGACGTGGTGATCCAGCACAAAAATGAAAACTTAGCCACCGTGGGCGACCAACTTCCAGGTGTGTTCAGGCTCTGAGTTGCTGCGGTTGTGGGGTTTGCATGGATGCTGTCTTTGCTGACCTCAACCACTGACCGTTAACCACCTCCTGGGTCCGCTGACATTGATAACAAACACATACTGTTGAGAGAAGAAAAAAAAGTCAAGATAAGTATCAATCAACTGCCCCAGAACTGTATGTAAGTTGCAGCTTGTCTAAAAAAAACTAGAGAGTACATGTTTGAAATCTGGCATAAGATTTCAATATTCTGATATTAAAGGACCACATCAATGTGACATCTGGCTCAAGTAATAAGTTAAAAGCCACACCTTGATTTGGTGACTAATCTTGTATAGGTAAACTTAGATTAAAACGGTGTTTTCCAGCAACAAAGAATATCAAGTGCTGGTATACAAGAATGGGGAAAGTAGCTTTGAAGAGATAATTGCTGATAAAAAATAAAAACCGGCTATTGTAGTCATGTCTTAGATCTCTTGGGGTAGGGGATGTCACAATATAGAAGTCAAAACAATTCACTAAACCATGGGGAAACTATTCATTACATCTAGGGGAAACTATTCACTAAATCTAGGGAAAACTATTCACTACATCTAGGGGAAACTTTTCACTAAACTAGAGAAACTATTCACAAAACAAAGGGGAAACTATTCACTGTTTAGCAATGAATGCTAACAGAAGGATACTGATTGCTAACCAGATGATACTGATTGCTAATCGGAGCAAAAAGATTGCTAACAAGAGGATACTGATTGCTAATCGGAGCAAAAAGATTGCTAACAAGAGGATACTGACTGCCAACCAGAAGGTCCAGAGTTTATTTTTAAATTTGGTTCCCATGACCTGGTCAAGCCAGCTATAATGGGATGGGTACTTGACTGAAGTGAGGGAAAAAGATAACAGTGGGCAGATTCCTGATGGGAATGGCATAGTAGAGAGGTAGAGCAAACAACTGCAGACACAGAAGTCATGAGTTTAGATCCTAGACCCTCAATATGTAGCATATTCCTGGGTCCCCCTCAGCTCTGGTGGGTGGGTATATGAGGGAAAGTAAAAATGGTGGTCGTAGTGGTGCTAGCCACATGTTTTGTACACAGAGTTGAGAAACAGGTGTAGTCCACCTGCTCCATTAGTTCTGGGTGGGTTATGCCTTTTGTTTCAAAAGTAATAATAGGTTAATATTATCTACAAAAGTCTGGGTGGGTTATGCCTTTTGTTTCTAAATTAATAATAGGTTAATAATTTCTACAAAACAGGTTCATAATCCAACTCAGTGCTAGACTTTGTTATGTGTTTGACTGAATGCCTTAAACACACAAAAAATGGTTTGACCTTTTATGAAATGAAAGTTAGGTTAAAATAAGCAGTTTGTTGAGTAATGTGCAGGCCTTTGTTTAGCCTGCATCAGTTTGTAAAGCTAAGATTGAATAGGTCTATAGATCTAACACTGAATATGGTGTAGCTGTAGGCTATTAGAATTAAATTTGAATAAAGCAAGCAACTTGCAGTTACAATATGTGTAAATAAATGCTACATATTCAATAGTTGGCCAGATTTTCAAGAGACATATTTATCATTAATTAACAAGAAGAAAAAAATGGTTAGTGTTTGACTGCTTTAAAAAGTTTGAATTTTGTAGTAATACAATAATAGGTGTAATAGCAACAAATTAGAATCTTAAAATATACAGAATGTGGCCAAGTAAATATATTTGTGGCCAACTAACTAAATATTGTTGTGGCCTCCTAAATCTATATACTACTAAAACTCAACTTTGTTTACATGTTTGAATATTTATTTGTTTGCCTGATCGACTATTGTGATATGTTCGACTCTATCTGGAAAGCTGTAAAATAGTATGCAGGTAGAGAATAATTTTTTAATGCAGACAGACTGTTGATCACAAATTTATTTAAAGACGTTAATTAATTTATTGATTTATTCATAGTTAAATTAACCGTATTTTTTTAAAAATGTTAATACTTTGAATAAACTTTGTGGGGATAGTGACGTCCCTTGATGTGTTTACTTTTTGGTTCAATAAAAATGGCGGACTCATCATAGACTTTGTGGCCCATTCAAAAGTTTAACGCGTTACAAAGCTAATTTTCTGCCGGCTATAACTTAAACAATACGTCCGTTTGCTGTATTTATTACGTTCCAACACTTATATCAATTTTAAACTGTCTTTTTTCATTTAGTTTTACAATAAATTTCTCTAGATCTAAAGATCAGCTGTCGAAGAAAAGTTATTTATAGATCTAGATCTAGATCTAGAATCTAGGTCAAATCAAATCTAATTTTCTGTCGGTCATAACTTTAACAATACGTCCGTTTGCTGTATTTATTACGTTCCAACACTTATATCAATTTTCAACTGTCTTTTTTCATTTAGTTTTACAATAAATTTCTCTAGATCTACAATCTGTCCAAGAAAGTTATTTATTTATAGATCTAGATCTAGAATCTAGAATCTAAATCTAGGTCAAATCAAAAATTTATTAGTTATAGATCTTAATACAAACCAAAAAAGAAACGAGACTTAAGCAAACCAGTCGTAGATCTAGAATATAGATAATTCTATCTAGATTTAGATAATAATGAGTTTCTATATACTAAAATATTTTAGACCTTTATTATTTTGTATAAATCTTTGTTTCGACTATGCAAATTTTGAAGTGCTGGCTCCAGGGCGTATTTGCGCAGCTTAAGATTCATACGCTGCTTCTATACCGGAATTTTGCTAAATTATAAACGTAAATTCTAAATATAGCTCAGTCGTAGATCTAAAATATAGATAATTCTATCTAGATTTAGATAATAGTGATTTTCTATATACTAAACTATTTTAGACCTTTATTATTTTATATAAATCTTTGTTTGGAATATGGTAATTTTGAAATGCTCGCTCCGGGCCTATCAGCGTAGCTAATGATTAGATCTAGATCTAGATTCTAGATCTAGCAAGAAAAACTAAACTTAAGACCTAAGCAAGCGAGTCGTAGAATATAGATCTAGATCTAGATAGAATTATCTAGATCTAGCTAATTTCAGAACTTCTTTATTTTATATAAATCTTTGTTTGGCTAATTTAAGATTAAATTTAATTTGAAAGTTACTACTACTAGCCTAATATCTAGATCTATGCGCGGAGACTCAAAAGTATAGTATAAAAATTCATTTGTGACGTCACGAGTAAATAGCTAAGTTGGTAGCGTAGCCCGCTCTCATGTGGGTGGCACAGGTTCTAGACCAATATGTCAATGATATTTTTTTTCAATTTTTTTTTTTTTAGATGTGAATGATAAAGTTGCCTATCTGAACTTGCCAGGATACAGGGCAGGTGAAGTAGAGTTCATCTGTTTCTTTGTCCTAAGCATATGAAAGGATAGTGTGGTCAGAGACATGCTCGGCTGGAATCGTTTTTTAAACGATAGAAACATGTTGTCTGAGACTTGGCGGGACACTGGGCAGGTGAAGTAGAGTTGAGTAGGTCACATGTGACGTCAGTATATGAAGGGATAGTCCGAAATCGGTGTTTTCGGTGTTTTTAAAAGATAAGAAACATATTTTTGAATGTGGGGTCTGTTTTTTGTGACGATAAGTGACACTGCAGTAGCGTAGCGAGGAGGGGGGGGGGGGGGGGGGGGGGGGCGGGAGGGGAGGCGGGGGGGGGGGGGGGGGGGGAAGGGGAGGCGGGGGGGAGGTGGAGGGGGGAAGGGGGGGGGGCGGGGGGGACATATGTTGGGGCGCCAAAATGGTTTGGAAAAATAAATTGAAAGGTTGAGGGGGGTTCAAATCGAAAGTTTGAGTGGGGGGGGGGGTGCACATCAAAAGTTTGAGGGGGGGGTGGGGTTGAAAATATCGAAAATCTTGGGGGGGGGGGGTTAAAATCGAAAAGTTTGTCCCCGGGCGCCGGGAAGGCTCGCTATGCCTCTGAGTGACAGACGTGATGTTTTTTTGATGGATTGACCCCCGAAACCCACAGTTATCCAACGGATGACGGGTATTCTAGTAATTATCTAAATCTAGTATTATTTGATAGCGTTCTGTATCATGTAACAAAAACTAGATCTAGTCCTAACCTAGCCTAACCAAAGTTGATACGTTAATAGTAAATAGTAAACACGATGACTTTATTTACGGAAGGATTCAAAAGTTACACTGATACCGGCTGGCACAGCTGGTAAGACAAATATGAGGCAAATGGTCTGCATGAGAAAATCTTTTTTTTCTTGCACATATTTTAAACGGCAGCTTGGTTGGCATAGAAAACAGATACTGATTTACACGTTATTTGGGCCTAGAAAGTTGATAACATCCCAAAGGGTAGTTAAGTGTAGATCTAGATTTTTATGCAGCCAGCCAAACACTTGGACTAGTCCAAATGCAAATCTGGATCTTTGTGGATGTTGAATATAACTTTCAAGCAGCAATGGTATCACCATTAACTAACTACTGCACTAATACTGAAATCTTAGGCTAATGATAATGTTACTAGACAAATAGCACAAGTTAGGTTTAGTCTACTTTGGTTACATGCAATAATAATGGCACAGCACTCAGTACAGTATTCAAGATAAATCTATGTTGCAAGATTGAGCACGAAATTTAAAAAGAGAACAATAATGACCAGATGCTAACAGTGTTAAGTACAGTGATATTTAGATCTGGGCTAGATCTATAATCTATACATTTATTATCAACTAGATCTAGATTCTAGATCTAAAATTCTAGGTCTAGAATCTAGATCTAATTATAATAAACGTCTAGACTCTAGATCTAGAATATATCTAGAACGTATTACTAGATCATATCTATTAAATAATAGAAACTAGAGATAGATCTAGATTCTATATTTAATTAATAATTATATTAGGGCAATTAGGATTAGACACATTCGATTTCTAGAATGTGGGGTTAGATCTATTCTAGATTCTAGTACTACTTCAGTGCTAGAATCTAGATCTAGATCTAACGCCACATTCTAGAAATCGAATGTGCCTAATCCTAATTGCCCTAATATACTTGAAGTAGAGTCTACCACAAAATAATATATTGACAAATAATAAAGTAGATCTAGAATCTAGATCAAGATCTAGTCTAAACTAGACTGAGTAGACTCTCTAGGTCCAGATCTTCAAAGCAAATAGAATACGTACCTAACTACAGCGCTGACACATCGTTACTGCGCATATTTTGTAATTCGTATCCAATTACTGTTGAGGACTCAGTGACTCTTGCTTGCAGACACAACACAAGTGGTGGCCGGAGCACACACTCCTACAGAAGGTGGGCGAACAATGAGGCTTATTTGTTTACAACCATCATACCAACCTTCTCAGCCGCTGGCAAAATCAACACACACTCACACACAAAAAAAACAGCTAACTAGCGAGAATATTTTCCAGTGGAAATAGAAAGTTTTGAGCCCTTTGCGAACGGCGTGTAAAATGTAAACCACAACAAAGAATTATTAAAAAGCGTGTAGCCGTGTTACGGCAAGCGTCACATCCCTGCGCTGGGCGATAGAGTTTAACCGTAGCTACGCCGATGCGACACACCAGCGCTAAACACTACACAAAGTCGATCTATCCAAACACCCCGCTCGCAGTGGTGTGCAGGAACATGGGATAGCCCCGAACTCTAAGCCCGACCTCTCACTTGGCGCTAACATGACTGAAATACGCACTCCTGTCCCCTCAATTTCGCCTAAGTCGAAGCGGCCGTTCACCCACTGACGCACAATGGACCCCGCGAGCGCAATATTTTCAACGGCACGCTTACCAGACTGGGCTCAACCAATAGTACCAGCTGAGGGGTGTCAGGCTGGCTGTCTTGGCTGGGGCTTTTTTTTTTTTCTCTTCATAATCAACTCGAGATTTCTTGAGGGTGAGAAAGCAAGGAGACCGTTGAAGTAAAACTCGGTTCTTCTTTCCATTTCTTCTCCCCATCTCTCGCTCACTGGTCGAGAGACAGGTGTCCGCGGCCGTACTGTGTCCAAATTACTATCGGTTGCATACAAGACACCCATAATGAGAGGCTCCACGATGTCCGATCGAGGGGGGAACAAACAGAATAAAAGTACATTGAAGTCTGAAACAGGACTTCACTCTAACCCATCATTACTTTAGGCACTGTCCATGGGGCTTAAAGCCTAAATCCTTCCTGTTTTATTAACCAAAATCTGACTTCAGTAAAAAAAAAAAATTTAATGTTACAAAAATGTATTTATAGCTTATTATTATTGTGAGTACATTTGGTGCGTACGTGTGTTCTTATTTTAAAATAAACCGCCGGTTTGTAAACACGTAGGGCCAAGCGTTGTTTTTTCTTGCCCCCGGCCTCGTTTTCAAGGTAGAGGTTTGGATTAGGGTCAGTGCGAGGCCAGGTTGGAGATGCTCTGAATAGCCCTATTAGCAGAGAAGATTCAATACGACCTGCTGTCGTTTGTTACGGGCATTCTCCTCAGCTTCATCTTACCCCTCCCCCCTCCCCCCCCCCCTAGCCCCACCATTCAGTCTCTAGATGTAAACATATCTCTAGCCTAGTCCTAACCTGAATCCTAACCATAATATAATGTTCAATTGTTGGTTTCTTATAGGCAGTGCTTTTCACCCCATTTCTCCCATTAGATAGAATTATTATAGAAAATATATACTTACCAGTACCAGTGTGTACGCCCCCCCCCCCCTGCCCCCCCCCCCCCCCCCTGAGAAAAATAGTCTGAAAGAAAAACTGCTTTTTAGTATAACTAGATTCGATTATTGAGATGCAGCATTAAAGTTAAAGACACTGTGATGATGTTCTGGTTATTAAGCCACTATAATACGGGGCATGCCTGCAGAGTTTCTTCCATTCGCCCCCCCCCCCCGAAATTTTTTTACCGCCCCCCCCCCCCCCCCGAACGAAATGAAAGAATTATATAATTTATATAGAAAATATATACTTTTAACAGTGTCCGCCCCCTCCCCCCCCTTGAAGAAATTCTACCGCCCCCCCCCCCCCCCCCCAAAATTTCAAGTGCCCCCCCCCCCCCCCGGAGAAAAAAGTCTGGAAGAAACACTGCATGCCTGTAAATACGGGCACCGCTGTAATATAGGGCACCACTGTAGTACGGGGCACCATTGTAATATAAGGCATCATTAAAGTATAAGGCAACACTGTAGTATGGGGTACTACAATAATATAGGACACCATTGTAATACGGGCACTACTGTAATATAGGGCATCATTATAGTACGGGGCACCACTGTAGTATTGGATACTACAATAACATAGGGCACCAGTGTAATACGGGGCACTACAATAATATAGGGCACCACTATGGTACGTGGCACTACAATAGTATAGGGCACCATTGTAATACGGGCACTATTGTAATATAGGGCATCATATAGCACGGGGCACAACTGTAGTATTGGGGTACTACAATAATATAGGGCACCACTATAGTACGGGGCACTACAATAGTATAGGGCACCACTATAGTACGGGGCACTACAATAGTATAAGGCACCATTGTAATATAGGGCACCACTGTAGTATGGGGTACTACTGTAATATAGGGCACCACTTTAGTATGGTGCACTAATGTAATATAGGGCAATATTGTATTACGGGGCAGCGCTATAAAACGGGGTATGACTGTAATACAGGGCACCACAGTAGTACGGGCATCACTGTAATATAGGGCACCGATGTAGTACGGGGCACCACTGTAATATAGGGTACCGCTGGTAAGCTGTAATATAGGGCACCACTGTACTACGGGGGCACCATTACACTACATAAATGACTGCAATACACGGCATCACTGTACAACGAAACAGATGAAAGCTCCGCATCCATGTTACTCGTCGGCTAGCTAACGACGCCACGACTGACGCTCGTGTTAATTAAAAGTTGTGTAGCCCTCGATAAATCACGGGGGCACATCTATCGCTTCCTGTCGGTGTCCCGCGACACAGCCTTGACACGCCGTGAACGACTACAGCACGGGTTCACACCCAGTGTGTTGTTGCACACCCGGTTTGTTTATACACACGAGTCGGTGGTGTTTGTTGTTGAATCGGTCTGGTGGTCTCTGGTTGGTAAGCTGGCGGGTTTATGGTTAGAAAGGGTACCAGACGATTAAATACATTGTTGATAAAAAGTGTTATGGTAGTTGTGAGGGTATTGTGAATGGAAAGTTCGAGATCGATATGTGTTGATTAGGTGTGTTGATTATCAAATATACGCGAGTAAGCGATGATTGAGATTGTGCCGTTATGTGTTGTTGCTTTTTTAAATGTCATTACCAGCTTTTTTTTTGCATAACAATGTTTGAACAAAATTAAAATAAACAAAAAATAAAGTATGACGCAGCGATATTCTCATATGTCCGCAGTTGTTGTTTTTTTTTTTTTTTTTTTTTTTTTTTTTTTGGGGGGGGGGGGGGTTAACCGGCAATTTTTTTAAATGCCTCAAAGTTGGGAGAGGATGAGGGGGGGGGGGAATTAATAGACTGCTGTAGCAGTGGAGGGGGGGGGGGGGAGGTTGATTCCGTTACATGTGATAGCATTGCGAGGGGGGGGGGTCGGGGTAGGGAGGGGAGCTCAATAGCAAAATCTAAATAAATAAACAATCTATTATTTTGTTGAAATAATCTAAAGGTCGGTTAGAAGAGGGGGGGGGGGTGACTTTACCGCAGAAATAGTGGTGGAGGTGACTTTACCAAAGAAACAGTGGGGGGGGGAGTGGGGTCGGAAATGCAACACCCTCAGTATTCGCACTGGATAACACACGACTTAGTGATGCCACTAATATAATGTTAAGATCTCCGCTTTAGGTGTGACTTGTATACAATGTATGCTTGCTTATACTGTGTTTGTATTGCCTGCCGCTCAAGCCCCTAAGAACAGCTGCTTGTATAGAGTCCTTTCATATGACGTCACGTCCGTTCGTGATACCTACGCCCGCCGCCACAGTGGTGTACACAAGACGTAAACACAATCAGCTGTTCGCCAGCGCTGGACGTGTTCACCAGCGCTGGACGCGTTCACTGTATGTAAAGAACCGCACCCGCGGAAAAGGAAAAATACGTTAAAAAACTTGAACTCTTAGGAATTGAAGATCCTTATACTGTTATTGACAGTTTCGTATAAATAAATATGTGGACAAAATTTCTAAATAAAAATACTGTTAGTAATACTGTTTGCGTTTAGAGTTAAAGTAGCCGAATCTGATCAAATGCAGTTCTCGATACTTTGTTTCATGTAAGGACAGTAAAATAATAAACTTCATTTTAATTATAAAAGATAACTATTAATAAAACAAATATGCTCGACCTTCACAAATACTAATAGTAAAAGACAAAGTCAAAAGTAATATTATAGGCTAATAAGAATAACAAGATCTAATAGTAGGCTTATACCTGGCTCCGCTGGGTAGACATAGAATCTAGAATCTACTTCTTTACTTAAATTTAATTACTTTAGATCTACATTCGATTCAAAATACACCCATAATAAATCAAAAGTAGTCATAATAGGCCTAATAAAGCATTTAATTGTCTCTAAGATCTAAAATCTCGCTCTATTATCTAATCATTTTTTTAGCAAACGAAATTTTCTGAAATTGAAATAGATTATATGACTAGACTTAGATCTAGAATCTGCTACTTAAATTAAATTGTAAAAACTTTATACAAGCATGTAGTTGATATTTTTGTAGTAGAAGGCTTTAATAAATTACTAAGGCCTACCTACTTTGTTGTCTTTTTACAGCAATATGTATCTGATACTGGACTGAGTTTAATTAAATTCAAATTCATATCTAGTAATTGGTCTACTAAGTTTTTGTAGCCTAGTAGTACAATCTAGATCATACCAGCCAACAACAAATAACCACATTATTATTATTAGGTTAATGATTAGGCTAATTTTTTTTTTAAATCCACTGTTTATAAAAGAAACAAATCAAGCTAGAAACATTGTAAGTGAGATGGTTTAGAATAATAACAATGGACCCAGTCTACAATTGATACAATTGCAGGTCTACATAGGGCCTACAGTCTAGTAGTTTACAGTAGGCACCTAGTGTGTAGCTAGTACACTAGTGTGTAGCTGTCCAGAGTTAAGATTCTTAATGCCTTAATGCTTTCCCCTGATAAGCCGTGTGTGCTATAAATGACATAACATGACACCGAGGTGAGAAGTGTTGAGGGGAGAGCAGTGGGACTTTCCCCTTTGTTCTCCCTGCTGGTCAAAATTATATAAGAAATACTATCTCTGTGGGGCTGGGTATCACGGAGGTGAGACATTTTCAGGGGAGGGCAGGGCAGACTCCTCTTTGGTTTTATTGTGGGCTAGATACAGGTGGGGGCAGCCATCATGACGGTTGAACGTCAGTATTAATGTGTCTGATTACTTCCCTGCTGGATTATAAGGGTCTTAAATTGTATAACATGCTACCCAGATTGGTTATTACCCATGGATTATATTAGCCGTTGTAGTGTGGGTTTTGTAGGAGTTAAGTGGTCTCACGTTTGCTACAGTAGATAACCTCTAATATATTACTGCATTTGATCAGCTTCGTCTACTTAAACTCTAAACGCAAACGGTATTACTAACAGTATTTTTATTTAGAAATTTCAGCCACATATTTATATTATCCACGAAACTGTCAATAACTGTATAAGGATC